ACCAGTCGCGTAATTTGGCTTGATTCAAAGCGAACATTTGAAAGCACACTTATGGGCTGTTTTTGCTTTCGCGTAAAAGCACATTTAGCGCATTTAGCTCTAAATGCTACTCTAAATGTACATTTATCCATACAAAATTCGTCACCTAAATGCAACTCCATTTTTGCATTTAGAATCTAAATGCTAAAAGCAACCCTGTGATCTTCCAAAGTTTCTACGATTCGAGCATGGTTTAGTGAGAAAGAGTGGCAACATTGCTTTTTCGAGTATACAGTCGCTAGCTGCGTTTCTGTGATCGCCGATCGAGATTTCGTTTATTATTTTACATTATTTGGATAAAGAAAAGTTACTCAAATTCAACATCGATATGATGCTGATAGAAATCTGGATTAATTTGTGATCAACTCTGTTTGTTTTGTTTCCTAATTAAGTGTGGAAATTATAATTGACAGCACCGACAAATGAATATATACACAAACAAGCATGATAAAAACATAACAAGGTAAAACCATTGAGAGGCAGTCTGACGTTTGCCAACAATATAATTTTAAAATCAAAACTCAAACTCACACACACAATCTCATTTTCAATCTCAAACAACAACAATTGTGAACAATTTAATTTTTTTATTTACAGTTTTATATGATTTTAAAATGTTGGCAAACGTCAGAAAAAAATCATGGCCGATGAAATGAGAGAATGAATTTACCTTGTTATGTTTTTATCATGCAAACAAGTGTTCGGTTATGGATAAAACAATTCAAGTTTTTGTATTGAATTTTCGGTTAAATTTTTTTTCCTTTTCAGTAGGGGTTTTTGCACATTATCTTTTCCGTGAGAATTTATCGTAATAGATACGGATCTGAATAAGCGACTGGAACACGGCTGTTTGTCAAAAGCATACGATTTCGAACTCGCGTAAATGTACATTTGCTAAATGCGATAGCATGAACGCTCTTCGAAAACATATGTTCGAAAGTGCTAAATGTTGCATTTTGAATGCAGCAAAAACGCTGCATTACATGTTGTGGCTGTAGGTGAGTGCGCAGAGTTGCTTGTTACAATTGCTTGCTGCCAAATAGTGTCCAGGTTCAAATTTCATTAGGCGGAACATATAATAAAATTTTTGTTTCGATTTTTCTGAATTATGAAAAGCATTTGTGAAGTAAACGACGAAATCGTAGTCAAACGAAAAAATCTCTAAAAATATATCTGTTTAAAGTAAAAGCTTTAAAGCTTGTTTGGCGCATAACCATGTGTTTTTGTTTAAAACAAAGACGATATGATTTTTTTCCCAGTGTATATATTCAATTAAGATTGAATTAAAATCACACTCGGTGTCCACCAAATAGAAATTTCGACATAATAAAGAACTCGACAATATTGAGATTACTTCGTAACCGAATTTATCTTCATGGTCAGAATTTGTAAGGCTGGGGTTCAACACTTTTTATTGGGTAAGAGTTATACATAACGCTCGTATCTATACTTTTTCGCAGTATAATACTTTAATTTTGGATTCCAAAAATGGATACTGCTGTTTTTTCCAAAATACGAAAAAATGCTTTTTTTTTGCTACCTAAATTTTTTAATGCAGAGAAGTAATATAAACTTAGCAGGCGTATATATAAAACGGTATAAGCTAATAGCGAATTGTTCGTGAAAACGCGTTATAAAAATGCATATGTATACATATGTATTTATATGTTTTGCCTATTTTTCTTTCGTTCATTTAAAGATTATTAATGTTTTATTAAAGTCTAGTTAATTATATAATACTTAAACACCATATAAATCCACATTTCAAACTTTGTAGAGGAATTCAAAACATTTTCAGACTAAACTTATTATTCTGAGTATGTAGTTTTGTAGCTCGCTAAATTCCAGTAATAAAGTCCAAGTTTTAAGAGGATAAGAATTCGCGTTGATTTTTGATATTTTTTTTTGTCGAACATAGTAGCATAGTAGCCGCACAGTATTTCGTCTATATGGAGGCAGGTAGAAATAATAGCTAACCTCCACCGATTTCGCTGAAACTTTACATGTGCTCTACTTAGAAATAGGGATTTATGAAATTTGGTAAAGATAGAATAGAGAATATAGCAACTCTTTTCTCCCAACGTTTGGTGAAATTTTTCCATTATTCGAAAAACTCTTTTCGCGAAATAATGTAAAAAGAAGCTGAAAATCAAAAATTAAGAAAATCGAAAATTACATAAATTAGATACATATATTAAATATGCATCTAATTTCAAGACCTGACGGACCGGTACTCACACTTTTTTTACAAATAATCTTTAGCATCTACATTTCAAAGTAAATTTTTTGATACAAAAATAGGAAAATACCAAAAAAATTATAAATACTTTCACCTGAATATTCCACCACACTTAAGTAATTGATTACAGTTGAAAAAGAAACACTTGCTTTGATGGGTTAAGCGCTAAAGGCAACTAAACTGATTAGTCGGTACCGCGTTGATTCCAGTATTTTTTGGAAATGTACCGTTCGTGGAGAGGGGAGGTGAGTAAATTATATGGAATTTTATATTTATGACTTTTACTTTTCCATCTCTAAGCTCAACCGGATTTTTGTTTATCAATCATGTCATCATGACTTTTCCTATCTGCCTCCATATAGTCGAAACACCGTGCGCTATCAGCAAAAAAAATGAAGAAATCAACGATATTTTGTAGACAGTTTAGGCTAGAAAATTATCGTGTGCAGCTGTGCTGAATTTTTTCTAATTTTTGTACAAAGTTACACATATTTATTAAGTACCAGATTTCTTTGTTTTATTAAAAAAAAACTGTTTAAAAAATACTGTACTATAAAAAATGATTTTTTTTAATGAAAATACTGCGAATCGAATTTTTTTCGCAGCAATATAACGTTTTTTTTTGGTGAGGAAAAGGATACAAGCGTTAGTTAAACATAAGAGTCCCTGCAAGAAATATGGCTGACTTCCAAAACGTCAATTGCTTTGCATACGTACAAAGTATAATGTTCCATAACGCCGAACTACAAAATATTGACAATTTATACTTTTGCAAAACGCATCCGAAAAGTTACGAAACGCATAGCTAGAGCAATCAACGCATCAGAAACAAAGTTGATGCTTCGTTTGTTAATGGTTACCATTGGTGTTTTAAAAATGGAAAATCCAGAAAAATTGTTCAATGCTATACTGAATATTTAAAATATGCAATGTATGTATATGGTTGCAATGTATCGCAACTCTGCATATACAAACAGTTCGAATACCGCAATATAACAAGTTACGGGATTTTCTACTAAAATCCCTAAAAAAATATATTTTTGAAAATTGGGTTGTGTCAACCTTTATTGATAAGCAGCAAGACTAAGACTAAATTTTACAATTGGAATTACTTAAAAGCTAACTTACTAGCACCGGCCAATCGTTGACGCTGATTCTCTGAATTGCCAAACTGGGCTGCGCGTGTTGACGGTGGCTTCCTGTTGCTGACGGTGCGTCTGGCTTTTGCTGTGGTAAACGTTGTGCAACACAAGCTGCACTTCGGCTCTTATTATTGTGCTTTTGCTGATCACTCAAAGTGGCGATCAGCAAATGTTAACGTGTTCCATGTTAACACTTCCCCTCTTAAAAACGATCGTTCTCGAGCGTTTATTAAAAATAGGGTAGGTTGTTGAAATTTATGTAAGTATTCTGATCATTAGGGGGCTCCTTGGTTTTATTTGAGTTTATATTTGCCAAAGGAATCTGGTAAGTTTCTGGAATCGGAGATATTATTATTTTGTTCTGGTGCTTTTTCCAAAAATTTGCAAAAATTATAATGGCAATTATTGTGGTTGCAACTGCTCCAAGTGAAAGTGAGCTATTGGATATTGTTGCTGTTTTGAGGATATTTATTCTTCTTATGTTGTCGATATGGAATTCTTTTAAAGCTTCCAGAAAAAGTAATTCGATTCGATTTTTTTCAATTGGTGCAGGTTGTAGGACTGCTGGAATAGCAGGCAGCGGAAACAAATCGTAATTAATGTAGAATTGATTATTTATCTGTAACGTTGAGTTATGAAAATTAATAAGATGTGTCCCTGGCACATTTTTTTGCATTCCGTCAGCATGTATTTCGCCTTTGAAGCCATTAAGTAGTAATATACCGGGTTTTATCTCTTCAATTTCTTGGATGTGTTGGCCGTTCGTTATGGTGCAAGATGAATTCAAACTATTGATTACTCTAGGTATACAACTACTATTACTTATATTTATTAAATGGGTTTGCTTACAAATTTCAATTTTCTTATAGCTATCGCACAATTTCTTAATTCCATAGGTATCTTTTGTACCTTTTAAAATTTTTCAAACTCGACATTAATTATGGTTTTATTTTCTTTAACAACTGGTCTAATAATAATTTTTTGAAAATTTTCTTTAATAGTTAGTGGTATTTTTACCAAGTAAAAAATTGTCATATTTTGACTTATTACATTTACATTCGATATTTCTAATGCTTCTTCGGCACTCTTAAATGGTATTTCATCATCTTCTAGTTTTTCTAAAGCAATTTCATTTTTATTTAACAATAATGTGTTTAAAATATATTTCTTTGCCCATTGTATGGCGTACTTTATATTAATCAATTCTTCTTTTATTAATCTTATCCTATTTTGCAAATTGGTGATTGTTTCATTTTCTATGTAAGTGTCTTTCCTTATGCTATTAAACAGATTATTTACTATCATACTTATATTATTAATTTTTTCGTTAAAAATTTCGTTTATTAATACTTGTTTATTATTGTTGCCATTGAGTTTATTAAAATTATTGTTTATTGCCTCCAGATCTTCGTGATCGGGGCTTCCGGCAATGTATTTCCAAGCCGTTCCTAAAATGTTTATGGATCGTTTTTGTTGTTTTTTTTCGACAGGTTTTATTGTTTCTAAAATTTGCAGAGATTGTGTTAATTCGTGTTTTAATAGGGGGTATAGGATTGTGTCCTTAGGGATGCCAGAGGAGGTGAAACTGTACATGTCCGTCAGGAATTGTTCGTATTTGTTGAGGTCGATTACGTGTATTAGCCTAAAGGCTCCGTTCTGAATTTTGGCAAGTCCGTCATTTATCGTGACTAGTTGTGCAGTAGAGTAGTCGTAAATGTCTATTGATGCGGTTATCGGGTAAATAAGGAGGAATCTGGAAGGGAAAAATTAATTTTGATTTTATTTTATTTTTTTGTTACTGGGTGAATAAGGAAAAGGAAAAATTAATTTTGGTTTTTTATATTGCTTTTGTGTACTATTCTTCCTGATTCTGTCAGGACGGTTGAATTTCGGTCTTCCCTTATTACTTCTTTTTTAAATTTTTTTGAAATTTTGGATCCTAACCGTTTGTTTATTTTTACGTAGATAGTGTCACCCGGATTATATGCTTTTATGGGGTGCCTGGATTTGTTGTGGTAAGCAAGATCTTTCACCTGCTTATTTCTTAGTTCGGTTATATTTTCAGCCCTGGCCCTTTCGAATTGGCTTGGGTCGGTTGTAACTCTTCTACCAAAAAATACCTCTATTGGTTTCTTTTTTGTAGTTGAGTGGATTGTATTATTGTACTCATAGACGGAGTTGTCGAGGAGTTCGGCGAATGAAGTGAAGCTTCGCTCTGCTTTTAAACAACGCATTATTTCTGTGAGGGTCGAGTGAAATCGCTCTATTTGACCATTCACGGAACTTGCATAAGGGGGTGTTTTAAAAATTTGTATATTTAGCGTATCTTCCAAAAGAAATCGAATGGAAGCTGAATTCAAGGACGTTTCATTGTCTATTACTACTAATTCGGGTACGCCGAACTGGAAAAGTAGTTCACGGAGAGGTTCCTTAACGTGCTCTATGGCTCTCGATCTAAGGATTTTTGTTTGGGCATACTTTGAAAATTTATCTATTGCTGTAAGGACGATATTTCGCTCAGTTATGTAAATATCAATGTGCAATATTTGCCCTGGGAATTGTGGAATAGGGGTTTCTCCTAATTTGGGTTTGGTGGGGTTTCGGTCATATTTATTTTCTTTACAAATTGAGCACTGTTGGATTATTCTATTTATTTTTTTGGTCATGGAAGGAAAGTGAAAATTTTCCAGGATTTGGGTTTTATTTTCTCGACAGTTTCGATGTGCTCTTTTGTGGGTTTTTACAATGATTTCTTCCTGTTCTTGTTCGTTTGTGACATCCTGCACTTGCATTTGTGTAAATCGGATTTTGTAGTTGTTAAAGTGTATTGGATAAATTTCTTGGATTTTTCCCATAATCCTTTCCTCTGTTTTAATACAGTTGACAACGGAAGGATTAAGGTATCTTTTCAGAAGGTTCTTTAAAGTTTCGGGGGTATAATCAGGTTCTTCCAAAATGTGTCTGTGTTAAGTAGGGAACACTATTTAAATTGATATGTTGAGGCTTCGGCTATATTTATAAAAATTTGGTTTTTGAATACGTTTATTGGTGTTTCTACGGATGGGATTAGGTTATGCGATGAGCTTTCATCGCTGTGTTGGGATACTGATAGGGAATTTATGGGTTCACCTGGAATCCTTGATAGCGCATCGGCTACGACATTAGTTGTGCCAGGTTTATACAGAAGCTCGTGATTATATTCTTCAAGGATGGCTTTCCAGCGCTTCATTTTGGAATTGTTGTTTTTATTGCTTAGGGCCTGCGTTAGCGGCTGGTGATCCGTGAATATTTTGACTCTTGCTGAGCTGTACAGATAGTTTCTAAAATTCTTCTTCTCTAAACTCTTTCTCGTTCGTAGCGTAGGCTTCTTCGGTCTTGGTGAGTGTTCGCGAAATGAAGGCGATTGGTTTTTGATCTTGGGAAAGGACTGCACCGATGGCATAATTTGAGGCATCGGTGGTTAAATGGAACTCTTTACTGAAATCAGGGTATGAGAGTATAACATCGTCAGATATAAGGGATTTTTTTATTTTGTTGAAGGCATCTTTTGCCTCGTCGTTCAAATCTATATTTATTTTAGCTGACTTGTTTTTAGATATACGGCCTTCTTCCCCTCTTAGAAGTAAGGCTAGAGGTTTTGCCAACTTGGCATAATCTTTTATGAAGCGGCGGTAATATCCTGAGAGACCTAGGAATGAGCGGAGTTGTTTTATATTTTGTGGGTAAGGTATTTGTGCAACTGCTTCTACCTTTGCGGGATTTTTTGTTATGCCTTTTGAGGATATAATAAATCCTAGGAACTCTACGGAGTCCCTGAAAAAATGGCATTTGTCCAGCTGAATTTTCATGTTCGCATCTTCGAGCGTTTTGAAAATTTCTTGCAGGTGGAGGGTGTGCTCTTCTTCAGAGTTACTGAAAACAACTATATCGTCGATATAGACGTAGCAAATTTTGCCAATTTGATGGCGAAGAATGTCATCTAGGGCCCGTTGGAATACTGAGGGGGCATTCTTTAATCCGAATGGCAGTCTTGTGAACTCGTATTTGCCATTATTTATTGAGAAAGCTGTTTTCTCAATATCGGATTCCTTGAGAGGGATTTGGCTCTTCAAATCCAAGACGGAAAAATATTTATTTTTCCCAAGCTGGGACAGTACTTCGTTAATTTGCGGTATTGGATAGCGATCTGCTATAGTGATCGCGTTAAGTTTGCGATAATCGATTACTATTCTGTACTGTTTGTTACCCTGAGAGTCGGGTTTTTTCGCAACGACCCAAATGGGTGAATTATACGGTGACCTTGATGGTCGAATAATACCGTCGTCTAACATTTTTTTAATCTGGGATTCAACTTAATTTTTTAGCGACATTGGGTAGGGGTAATATCTTGTGTAGACGGGGGTGTCTTTATTGGTACGGATTTCGCCTACGACTTTGGTAGTGTATGTGAGTTTATCATTAGGTTCGGAAAATAGATTTGGAAAATGATTTACTAAATTATCGACTTTATTTCGTTGATTTGTTGACAAATGGTCGTCATTGAGTTCAATTTTATTAACAGATTTTTGACTGAAATTGTTTTAGTTTTATTTTGGTATTCCCTTGTATTTCCATAAAGTTATCTTTGACGTGAATAACAGCTTCTAGCTCTTTGAGGCTATCATTCCCGAGGATTCCATGAAATGATCGAAGGGTGGGGAGTAGGTAAAATTTTAATTTTTTATTTATGTGGAACAGATTTAAGAAAGTGTGCTCTTTAATTTCGATGTCTCCCGCTATAGATTTTGCAAAAAAAATTTCTCCGTTTTTAATGGGTTTTGGTACGATGGATGGTTGGATGTAATTTTTTGTTGATCCTGTATCTATAAGAAATTTTACGATGTTTCCACTCTTCAGCTTGCACTCGATATATGGCAGCGAAGAGTGATTCATTCTAAAAAATGTAGATCAGTTGTATCTATGAACTCATCGGTTAATTCACTATTATTATGGTTATAGGTATTATCATTATTATAGGTATCATTAGTATAGGTGTCATTAGTATTAGTCTCATACTCTTGGTTAGTGGGATTATAATCGTCTAGGTTGTACTGGTCTTGTTCCGTCGTTTGTTCAATGTGGAAGTTTCTTTGTATTTTGTTAGGGGGTGCGGGAGGGTTAGTGTTAGGTGGTCTTTTGCTAGTAGGATCATTGGGACGTGGCCTGTTCATGTAATTAAGGTTTCTTGTTCGTAGGGATGGATCGATATCCATTGGTTCTGGTCGTGGTTGAGGTTTTTGGGCTGGACGAGGTGGTGGGTTATTAGGACGTGGATGTACTGATTTTGTTGGTAAGGATGTTGGTATTGGTAGGTTGGTTGGGGATGTTGGAATTGGTAATTTGTTTGGGGAAATTGATATTGATAATTCGGTTGGGGAGGCCTGTAGGGAGGAGTTGTGTTCAACCTGGGTTGAGGCATGAATGCCAATTCGGGGTAAAACTCGTTATTAATTCCTTTGGGAGGAAGGGGTGGACGGATGTCCAAAGTTCTCCTGGGTTGGCCATTATTTACTAAGGCATAGTGGGACCTGAAGTTTTGGTTTTCAAGTTTTAGACACAAGTGGAGGGCTTGAGGGAGATCAGCGGGTTCCCTCATTCCTAGGAGTCTTGGCAAGTCTCCTTTAAGCCCACGAATGAACGTGTCCAGCGCTTTGTCCCTGTATGCGCGGGTAAGCAGATGCATGGCTTCTGTGCCGACATCCATGCAGCCGAGCTTATTAAGAATAAGCGACATGTGCGAGTATACTCGCTGGTAAAATTCCTGAATTGTCAGGTTACCCTGCACAAGCGACGTCATCTGGTACTCGAGAGTACCTAAGTCGCGCTTATCCGCATAGTGCAGCGTTAAGCATCTGGAAATTGCTTTCCAGTCTAGTGGAGTATTGTATGACTCCAAGGCAATGTCGGCGTTTCCGACAATTTTATTGCGGATAACGTTGAGGATCCCATAGTATTTGGGAGATCCCCTTTGTGGCTCATAGATCTGAAGGATCCTGTCCACGCTTTTCTTCCACGAGTTGAATTTTCCAGGTGCCCCTGAGAATTCGCGAAGACACCTTACCACATCGGGTATCTTGTCTAATTCCGAGATGTTGGGAGAAGCTGTGTCTATAGTTATATCCCTAACATCGGAAAAACTCGCGTTGGGGTTGAGGGCGGCTTGAACCATGTTTCGCCCTTGTTGTTGGAACATATTGATTACGATGCCAGATATGACCTCCGTCAACTGGTCCATCGATAAGGGAGTAGTATTAGCAGGGGTAGCGAGTGTGGGAGGTGGTGCGGTTAGCTCAGGTGGTCGAATAAGATTTTGAGGGTTTGACATTTTGAGTTTACTTAGCCTATTCTTTTCAATTTATTATTTATGTATATTTTTGATGTTTTGTGGAACTTCAACAATCTCTGGAGGGTCCCTTTGGTGGTGAATCGCAGAGTTGTTTTTATTTTATTTCTAGAGATTTCTTTAAATTATGAGCTGTACAAGCTCTTCAGTTAAAAATTGTTTTCTTTGTGTTATTCAAGGACAAAAGGTTTTAATATATTCACTTGATTTTACCTTAAAAGGAATTAATTAAAAAAAATATCTTTTCTAAATAGGAAATTTATCTTTACTTAATTAATTTAAAATTTTTTGTTTATTATTTCTTAAAAATTTTCACTTATGTTTTTTATTAATTTTCCCTCAATAGGACTAGGATAATTTAAAATTTATTTTCAATCGGAAATTCGGATTCACTTAATTTAGTTTTTAGTTTGTCTTAAATCTATGCTTACATTAATGGCAGCATCCGGCGGCTAACGACTCGCGTTTCCCGTTTGCACATTTGTGAGCTACTAGGGCACCTTTTCTCCTTCGCTGACTCTGAGTTAACTTAGTTACTTAGCTGGTTAAAGGACCTTCGTCGTCTTTGGCGTGCTATTCCACCCTTTATGCGCTGGAGTTATTACGAAATCGGCGATCCTTCTGCTCCCAGTATCACGAAATTTTCTGCTTCAGGTGTTGCAAATTTTTCGCGAAACCGTTTGTTAATTTAATTTTTATTAACGCGCACAACTTTATTTAGTTACGGGTTTTAAAAAACACGACTGGCGTAGGCCCCACGTTGGGCGCCAGTTACGGGATTTTCTACTAAAATCCCTAAAAAAATATATTTTTGAAAATTGGGTTGTGTCCATGATTCAATTATTAAAGGTTTTGTAAGTAGCTATTTTCTAAAATTTGACACTCCCACCCACAGGGATGGTTTTTGGAAGCAGGAGAAAAAGGGGAAGAATTCAATCACACTTCCTAAAAAGTAGCGAAATTCTACAAAAAGGCGTCGATAATGGTGCATCGTGGTGTTTTAATACAAAAACGAATTTGATTTATTTAGTTAATTTAAACCAGCTTATTTACATCAAATACAACCCCTGATTATTATTAAAAATAAATTTTGCTATGAATATACCAAAGTTGCGTACGTCAGACGGCGCAAAACTCAAGAATGGAAGGTCCCCTTAGAGCTATTTTTTTATTCTTTGTCTGCCTTGTAAATTCTTTGCGGTACCATTTACATTAGATAGATATGAAGAAGCTATTTGTTTGTGGAAAAGTTATGGTGTTTTGATTGAAAAACGCCAAATAAAAACATTTGGAGCTTACGATTCTTTCGCGATTATGGCTCGATTGCTTCGAATATGGGTGTTTCCATACAGCCGTACGCGACATACGCTTATAGAGTAACGTAGATCTATCAAAAATAGGAGTTACAGAAAAAAGAAGATTACGGTTATGTTTCAACGAAAGGGTACTATGTTTGAGAAAAATATAAGCAGCCTCGAAACTTTGGTGGGGAAAATATCCGTTCAAAACCAGGTGATAACGTACGCGACAAAAAAGAAGTGGTTTTAAGGCACATATACATATATGCGAAAGTCTGCGAATCATGAGAGTTTTTCTTTTCTTTAAAAATTCCTACACTAAGCTGAATAATGTACATTTACAATTCTTTCATTGTTTGATAGAAATTATCTCTGGTTAGTTTTTATTAAAAAAAAAATATATAATAACGTACGCGACAGATTTTTCCCCCATACAATATTTTTACTAGTAACACATACTAAATTAAATTTTTTCAGTCTTCTCTCCACCGTTTCGCGTTTTCAAAACCGCATTGATTTTGATGTATTTGATTGAAATTTTCGTACTTACAATAACGTATGCGACAAACTTTAAAGGGTAATAGAATTTTTTTTACTTCGGTTGGAAAGAAAATTTTACTGTATATCTTTAACTAGAAGAATTCTCGCTTAAGAATTGTAATCTGCATTACCTGCGACTGCCAATATACAAATGACATAGACAAACAATGTTTTTGCATAACGTACGCGACATTAGAATACTATCAGAAGCAAATCAAAAAATTACCGTTAACCGAGCACTAACTTCTCCTTTTTCTCATTTTTATAGTTAGTTGTTATTGCAAATTTGATTTTAAGATGTAATTGTAATGTTTCAAATCTCTTAATTTAGTTAATAGGGAAGAGAAAATAGTTCATTTCATTAGAGAAAACTGAGTCGAAGAGACATTCAGTCTTACTCTTCCATTTTTTAGTTTTAAAATTCCAATAAGCTGAAATACTTCTATAATATAAAAATTCGAGTATTTTTCTCTTATTAATTAGTCTTAAAACCCCTTTTCAGTTGTTTTTTATTTTTTCAGTCCTGGTTGACATTTTCATGGAAACACCCATATGCTAATTCGAGTTCTTTGATATTGCACTTTTAGTGTTCTGGGGAGATTATGCCGCCGTCAGAATATTAAACATTGGCTTATACAGTTGCGATTGGCGCTTGGTGCCGGACGACAGGAAGAATAAAAAGGACACGCAGCTACTGAACGATCTACATCGTCAAATGAGAAGTGCCGTAAGTGTGCAATTATATCGCGCCATTGACTAAACCGAGCTGTCGGGTTTTACGATTGGCCCCATGGACGCGGTTTGCTAATATTATATTGCGTCAAAGTCTCATTCGGAGACACCAGCAGCCGGATTCCAGCATTCGCTATCGCTAATTTTGATCGCTAAAGGTCTCCAAAAGAATAGCAGGCGCGCTTAACAACATGTAACGTTTAGTTACATGCCCCTCATACTGCCAGATTTGCCTGATTACACTTTGCTTCTGTTACTTTTCAATATTGCGCACTTTTAGGCCCCGCGGCTGTTAATTTAGAGAATTTTAGCGATGGAAATGTAGCATAGCGATTGTCAGAATTCCACTGCAGGATTGTGTTGTGTAGGTCAATACCTAAATATCTTCGTTGGCTCATTTACCAGAACCATTGCGCGCTTTACTTTACAGCGCCTTGGCAGAATCAATAGGTCTCCACGAATATCGGCAAAGACATTTCGGCAATTAAGGGAATTTCGTCTCTTTAGCCTGCATTGAATTTCTGTAATCCACCCATTTCGTCTGGTTGTCGCAAGCGAATGAAGAACAAACATTTCTTCAAAATTTAAAAAGTAAAAGTTTCACTACTAAAAATTTAAAAATGTTCTTAAAACCTGCAAAGAAATTTGGAAAAGAAATATCACTGTTTTTGTTTTTGGGAGTAGGGTGGGAGTGTCATTGATAAAATTAGAGCGAGAGAAAGTTTTTCTTACAAAACCTTTCATTATTGAATCATGGGTTGTGTCAACCTTTATTGATAAGCAGTAAGACTAAGACTAAATTTTACAATTGGAATTACTTAAAAGCTAACTTACTAGCACCGGCCAATCGTTGACGCTGATTCTCTGAATTGCCAAACTGGGCTGCGCGTGTTGACGGTGGCTTCCTGTTGCTGACGGTGCGTCTGGCTTTTGCTGTGGTAAACGTTGTGCAACCCAAGCTGCACTTCCGCTCTTATTATTGTGCTTTTGCTGATCACTCAAAGTGGCGATCAGCAAATGTTAACGTGTTCCATGTTAACAAACAGTATCCAAACATTGTATTGATACGTTTTGGAAGTCAGCCATGATGTACATATATTTTTTGTAGAATTGGAATTTTCAAACGTTATGTCCAGTTAAAACTCTACATACGTAACAGGTATATATGTACATATACATACGTCCATAAACAAACACTTATGTATATATAAACCATATATGTAGGTACAACAAGCATACCTACATATGCATGCTTTTATACAACAACTCACTGAAAAAAATTTCATACCTCTGTCACACAAACCTACATGCATACATACATATTTATTATATAATCGCAAAAAGGCAAAGAGCAGAAAAAGAAAAAAATATGCAATCCATTTACGATATGGAAATGACATCGAGGGATTACGAAACGCTATCTGAAGCTTCCGCAGTATGTCTAAGCTTAAGGCTGTTTTTCAAAGTGTTATCTAACGAGCAAAAAGTTTATTTATTTGCATACAAACATACATACATATGTATATATGTATTAAAATTGACAGATTTTCTTTTTGGTCGGGGTGGACAACAATTTTCGTTTAACTGAAGCAACCAAATATCAAGGAGACCGTAAAAACACTACACCCGATCCTACCCTTAATACTCTCTTTTCAGTAGCCACGGGTGAACCAAGGATATGTTCGCTTTGCCAAACGTGAATTTTAAACCCTAATACACATATTTACACATAACATTCAAACATCTTACAATCGGCTAAGTAACCGCATCAAGTCTACACATTTCATATAGGGGTCCATTTCGCACAACCTTACACATTTTTACTATGTATTTGCGTATGCAAATTTATAGATGTTCATAAACAATTTATATGCATAAATGTTTGTATCCCCAAATACATACATATTGCTATGTATATAAATAAATGTTCGTATCTACTCAAAACATATACAAAGTATATACAGATGTATGTACAGATGTATATTTTACATTTGGTGGTATGTTGCGGACAAACTGTACAACCTGAATATAAATAAAATTGGCAGTAGGATAAGCGAAAAAACCAATTCGCAAATACTTTGCTTTAAATGTATTCATACCGAGGGGAATCTGCTAAATTGTGTGAGTTGAAGATACCTATGAGCCACTTGCCAACATAATTTAAAAAGAAACAAGTGCTAAGTTTTATGTTGAACTGTTCCTAATGCTTGTTTAGTACTCATATTTATACATACATACCAGTATACACCCAGTAGCGAAAATGGTCACCAGTGACATCGTCACTAATGAGGATTTAGTGACATCGGCGCACTTGCTGTGAATCCTAAACGACATATAGCTTACAATGACACTGGTGACAATATCATGCAGCTGTAC